AAGACATTTATTCTGTGGGAACCTGATGCCAAACCACACTTGAAAATGCAAGGGCCTTCCCCCTGTTTCCAGAGTCTAGTAAGAAAACAAATCATTTCAAAGTGGCCAGGCAGGGCTGTGGCTCTAAGAGGTTGATACACGTCCTCCAGGACTGGTGGAACACAGGCTGAAGGTCCTTGGTTTCTGAGTCTGGCAGGCCTGTAGGGTATGGGAAGACAGGTGGCCAGCACTGGGGTGGGAAAGCCAGCTGTGGAAACCTCAGCATGGTGACTTCCACAGTGCACCTTGCACACCGCAGCCATGTATTATCTTAAGCACATGCCGACTCCAAAACCCAATCGTGGCTGCCATCTCCATTTCAAAGATGACAAAGTCAAGATGGGGAGAGCTTAAATGACCCCTCCAGGGGCATGGATTTTATGCAGAGGGAGAGTGGTGTGGTTGGAAGGGCACCGGACTTGAATTTAGGGAACTTTGGATGCCAGTGCTGGGGATTCTAGACATGCAACACCACACTACACACGCCACCACTCTTTTAGGACTAAGATTATGGAAGAAGCCAAAGCTTGATGGTGATGGAAGGCAGGCTGCCCTGGAAAATATGCAGAAGGGACCTATTTCTCCCTTCACTTTTTCAACCACATTTGTTTTAGCTCTGGGCCATCGTCTTCTGTTTCCTCTCCGGGATTTTGTTTCCCTGGAATGACCAGAGGATGTGTTCTATTTACTCGTTTGTAATGACTGGAGTCACTCTCCTTTTTGGGGGGGAATTCATAGGAAATTTATATTTTTGAGGTTTGTTTTGTAGCACAGATAATAAAAATCCAGGGACAGATATTGGGGTTCAAGCTGAAGATCAGAAAAGCAAAGCAGCTGGCCAGTAGAGCTCTTACCTCTCCCAAGGCTGTGGAGATCCTATCCTTAAAGTGGCTGGGAACTAATTGTCCAAGACCGAATGCCTGTTCCTGTCTTGTATACCTCTCTAGTGCTGGGATTAAAGGTGTGAGCTCTGTTTCTCCTTTAGACTGATTCACTCTCGTGTAGTCCAGGGTGGCCTTGAACTCACAGAGATCCATCTGCCTCTGTCTCCTGAGTCCTGGGATTAAAGGTGTGTGCCATCACTGCCCAGCCTCTATGGCTGTGCCTAGCTTTGCATTTTGTTTTTCAATGGCTTTATTAGATCATTAAAAAATGTATCACTTCATTATTTTTTATTATTTTAAAAGTATGTGTACTGTTTGTGTCTATGTTGAATATGTGCACATGAGTGCAGGTAACCCCAGAATCCAGAAGCATCAAATCTTGCTGGAGCTGGAGTTATGGGTAGTTGTGAGCCAACCAGATGGACCCTGGGACCTGAGCTTGGGGCTTCTGCCAGGCCATGCATTGTTCTTAGTTGCTTAATCCCTGTAAAAATTTAAGAAATGAGACACTTTCAGGATGCACAGGAGCCACTTCAGAAAGTGAGCCTTTACTCCCCAATCGCATGGAAGAGACGCTTTTCAAAGGCTAGAGTCCCCCAAGCCCACTGTGGATGGGAGGTGGCAACCCTCTCGTCTCCTGGAAAGCCCTCTTCAAGTGCTGAAATGAGGCAGAGAGCTTATGGGAGGAGAAACATTGCACAGATGGAGAACGATCTAAAAGGGGGGCAGAGAAACACGGAATCTCATGGCGTGCTGCCGAATTTAAACCCACCTCTGCCCATTTCTTGCTGTGTGAGGATGGGCATAGGAATGAAAAGTCCTCTGCATAAAACCGTTTACTCCATAGATTTCTGAGGACTAAGTAAGAAAATGCCTTGGCAAGGCATTGGCCAGAAGCTTACAAACTGGATGCTTTCAGCCAAAGGTGATGTCTTTTCTTCTCCTTTGCTACGTGGAGTGTGAGAAATGGAGGGTGAGGGGAAGGTTAACAGTAACACACCAGGAAGTCAGCTTCTCTAGGCAAGAGAGAGTCCATTGTGGCATGCTTGCTCCTGCACCCAAATGCGGTGCCCTTGGGTTTGAGACAGACACATCACAGTGAAATTCTGACTGCGTGGGACCACTGCCTTTGCAGCTTTAGACTCTGGGCCAGGGATGCAGTGTGGTGGCAGAGAACCTGCCTAGCACCCACAAGACCCTGGATGGTTCAGTATCAGGATGCAAAAGGAAAAACAAAAACTACAATAAAACAAAATCAGACAAACCCGGGTAGCGGAAGGCATTCTCTTGGTCTTTCTTTGAGTACGGCCATCCAAGGAGAACTTCTGAAGAAGGTAAGTTCTTCTGTCATGCCGGCTTATCCTGGGACATTCTACACACAATGCTTCATTTAATCAGAACAACCAATCAGCAGATCTACCACTAACCTCTGGCCATCGCTTTTCCTGGTGGTAGGACTTGCATTCCTTCGGAAATATCAAAGCATAGGCATTGCTCATCTGGCTCTGGGGTGACTGGCAGCAACTGAAGCCACACACCCTGGCGTTTTGAAGAGCTTCACTGGTACTTTTTGACCCTTCTTGCTATATAAGACCATGTGTAGTCCAGACTGGCTTCTAGCTGTGGCGATTGTCCTGCCTCAACCTTCCAAGAATTGAAATTATAGATGTGGGCTCCCGTGACTGGCCCTCAAGTTTTAATTGTGGCCTGTGAATTATTTTCTCCCGTTATTAAGAGAAAACAATGATGTCCAGGACTTTTGACCTTTGACTTTTAGACTAGACAGGCCATGAAAGATAGCTGTTTGTCAGGACCAACTTAGAGATGGAAAAGAAATAGCCTTAAGAATCCTGCTATGGGACTTCAGGAGTTTTTGTAATGCTCCCGAAGTGTCCTCTGTCCTCGCCAGCCTATGCATTCACATAAGGTCATGGTGCTATTCATAACTGAACTTAGTGGTGCTGTAGATTTCCCAGTGCTAAACTTCCAGGTGTCCATCCAAATCCCCTCACCTTGTGAGAGCTTGCTCAGGCTGCCTTACTCATGCTCAAGAAGATGTTTGTACCCACTGGGGACAACTGTTGCCTCAGGACTCTGCCTGGCTTTGTTGTCAGCTGCCCGTCTCCTGGGAAGAAATGCCCTTGCTGAGTACACCTGGGCTTTCCCAATGTGCCAGTGCCGTGTTCTGTCTAGGCCCCACTACACCGCTAGAGCTACCGTTTGTTTAATATGTAAAGGCGAAGAATGGCTTCTCTCTCGCTCTGTACAAGCCCTCCATCCTCCGGGCCCTTGCACTGGTTAAATGCATCAGTGAGAGTCCAAAATAAGTCCGTGCAGCATTAAGGAAAAGGAACCTAAGTTCCTCCCGGAGGTGTTTTTACCAAGAGCAAGCCCAGATCTGAATTCTCTGCTTCTGTCTCCTCATGTCTTCTGTCGAATGTGTCTGTCTGTCCATGTATCCCTAACAAGCTTTTTTCACTCTGTACTTATTGAATGATGTGGGATGAATGGCCTGGGGGGAGGGAGGTGGAGGTGCTTTTCAGAAACCTTTAACAGGGTTTTGTAGGGGACGAGACTCTCCTGGCCCCAGCTGACCCAGATAACAAGCAACGTTTTCAGACAGTATTTGCATGCTGCGTTCAATATTTATGGCTGATTGCTATTTCACAAGGGTGCTTTTGTTCTATTTGCTGTTTTCAGCAAATGATAGTCATAGCATACGCATATCGCTCTCTGAGTCAGGGCTGGGGTTGAATATCGGATGAAAGCTGTACATCCGCTTAGACTGTAAAAAGTTGGTTACCTGGGAAAGCCAAGGCAAGCAAGGTTGGCTGTTGCACTGTGTTTTTAAAGGCAGCTTAAACAAACCAGTTGTGTACACAGTAGGACAGCAGTCTCAAGTCCCGGGTTATCTCAAGCTTCATTATTAACATTGGCTATGAAGCAATAGGCGAAAGTTCCAGTCTCTTAGTGTAGCACCCGCACTACGATCTGTTCCACGAATCAGGCGAAGGCCTAGAGATCGAAATAAAGAGACATGACAGCGGGGCATTGGTTCAATGGCAATGTTGGAATGCCAAATGAAGAGTGCCATTTATTGAGGGGATGGAACGGGCTTAAGTACTGACACACAGTGGAAAATAACAGGAGTTTTAGGCTTAGCTCCTCCCCACAAGGTGTGTGTTATCAAAACAGGAAAAGTATCAATAACAGCTTTGGGGCAAGGAGTTCTGGCCGACAGCTTCAGGCTTGCTGAAGGTGCCTCAGGGGTCCATGCAGGGCCCATCTTAGAATGTGAGAGATGTTTCCGTGTATGGTATTGCCACAGGCCCTGGGGCTAGCACTACTCAGCACACAGTTGGCAGCATCTTCCAAATGCGCCCGTCACCTTCCACCACCCATTCCCTTTGAGGGACAGCTGAGAGAGAAGGTGCCAGTTATCCCCTTCATCATTTTTATTCCTTCTCCAACCCCTGATACCCACAAAGCAGCTTCAGCCCAAACCCAGAAGTCTCTGTACATATCAGCTCTGCAGGTCAGTGCCCGTGCCAGTGGCCTCGTCTTCCCACTCTGTCTGCGCTCAGTCAGGTCCACGCTAGCTATTACCCGCTCATGAGGTTGTCTGGTCTTGGCTGAGCTTATACCCACCAGGGCACCAAGTGTTCTCAGGGTAGAGTGGTGACTGAAGTCCCCAGCCGCTGGAGACCATCCAGAGGACATATTTCAGGAAAGGAGTCCTGTGGCAGGGAGAAGACGCTCCTGGGGATCTCATCGAGTCCTGTCAAAACCACTGTTGTTTGAATGACGTGCACCTTGCGTCATGTAAGATGATTTGGCTGAGACACCCTCACGGGTACCCGGGAGGAAGTTGTTTTAGCATGGATCCTTGGACCTTCCAATTTCCTCAGACAGGAGAGGGCAGAGAGTCCGTTAGTCCATAGAGAAGGATGCAGGGACACGAGGCGGCGGAAGCACAGTGTGTGTGTTTCTGTGGCCAGCACCTGCACTGCTGCCGACATCTGGAACACACCGGGCTCTGCGCGTGCTCATCCTGTCCCATCCGTTTGTCTCAAACAGCACCTGCTGTCATTTACTCTGGAATCAAGGACCTCAAGGTCTTGAAAACAACCCAGTCTGGATTTGAAGGATTCATCAAGGACCAGTTTACCACTCTCCCCGAGGTGAAGGACAGATGCTTTGCCACAAAAGTGTACTGCAAGTGGCGCTACCAGAGAGGCGACGCGGACTTTGAGGCTACATGGTAGGTCAAGTGAGCATTGGGGCCCAGAACCAGGCCAGGGTAACGGAGCATTACATCAAAGAAGAAACTTAGCGAGCCGTCAACTCAACTTCCTAGTTCTTCAGGAACTTCCCCATCCGTGTGTGTGTGTGTGTGTGTGTAAGGATTGTAATCTAAGAAAAGCGGCTTGAGAGAGAAAGACATGAGAACATGTAACAGAGTTCAAGCAGGGTCTTTTTTATTAGGGTGAAAGGATTGTAAAACGGGGAAGGGGAGGGGTGAGACTGGCCCCCAGAGACAGGAGAGAGAGAGGGAGAGAGAGAGGGAGAGGTAGGGAGAGAGAGGGAGAGAGAGAGGGAGAGAGAGGGAGGGAGAGAGGGAGGGGGGAGAGAGAGAGAGAGGGAGGGAGAGAAGGTGGGCGGGGCTCTTTTAAAAGGGAACACAGTGAGTGTGCACAGGTGGAGCTCTCAGTGGCTGCAGCTGAGGGCGTGTCCTGTCAGGACCCCAAGGGCAGGCCAGCACAGACGCCTGAAAACTGGCAGTAAGTGTGTATGCTCTTACTGTATATGGAGGCCAGAGAATCACTTCAGGTGGTGTTTCTCAGGAGTTATCCACCTCAGCTTTTGTGACAGTCTCTTACTGGACCAGGGATTTGCTTATTAGGCTAGGCCTGCTGGCTAGCCCAGGATCTGTCTGTGCTCTGCTCTGTGCTGGGGTTAAGCATGCAGCATAACTTGCAGCTCTTAGTGTGGGTGCTGGAGTTGGAACTTAGATCCCTATGCTCACATGGCAAGCTGTCTTCCCGGCCCTCCCCATCCTTTTTCAACTGTATCAGTGGCTTCCAGTCATTAGTGAACAGTGGACTCACTCAAGACATTGTGAGAATGAAGGTCCCTGGGCTCACTCCTGGGCCCTGGGAGAATTTTGGTTGATAACAACACCTCAAGAGACATTACTGCTGCTGGACCCCATCAAATGAAGATAACATCTAGCTCTTCCAGCTTGCCAGAGGCATTCTTGGTTTCAATCCTGAAACTTCCATGTCCCAGGAAACCCCTTGGTTTTTAGGAAAATGGTGATAACTGGTCACCCACAGGTTAAGCCCCAAGTCCTCTGGTAGTCCTATAAGTGTTTTGTTAATGTGGCTGAGGAGAGAGCTCATTCAGGAGAGTGTTTGCATTCCAAATATGGGCATCTGCATGTAAGCACAGGAACTCACACAGAAAAGCCAGGCAGCATGGTGTTCTTGTGATCCAGTGTGGGAGCTGCAGCCAAGCAGTTCCCTGCAGCTCACTGGCTGAATCAGTGGTGAACTTCAGGTAAATATCAGAGAAGGGAAATGGAGGGTAACCAACAAAGAAAGGCACCTGAGGTTGACGTCTGTGTTCCATACAGAGGCACATGCCTGACAGCTGATTATGCACACAGACACTCTCACACAGTCACACACACACACACGCACAGACACACGGGCACACGCACAAGTCTCTCTCCCCCCTCACACACACAGTCACAGTCACACAGTCACACACACAGTCTCTCTCACACACACAGACACACAGGCACATACACAGTCTCTCTCTCTTTCACACACACACACACATGCACATAGGCACACACACAGTCTCTATTACACACACATACACAAACACACAGTTTCTCTCATACACACACACAGACACACAGGCACATAGATGCTCTCTCTCTCTCTCTCACACACACACACAGATACCCACAGTCACACACAGTCTCTCACACACAGACACACAGGCACATAGATGCTCTCTCTCTGTCTCTCTCTCACACACACACACAGATACCCACAGTCACACACACTGTCTTGCACACACACAGAGTAAATGACAGATGCTTTGTCATGTAAAGGTGTGTTTTGTGATATCTCTGACAGGGAACAAGTAGGCTCTGAACACCCAGCGCTTACTTTCGACTGTGGATCTCATTCCTTTGCTGATCCTTCCACCCCAGGATGAGCTGGAATCTGTTCCTCCTGCTACAAACTCCCACTGGTAGTTTTTATCTGCTCTTTTTATTATGCGAGAGGCTTTTAAATGCCTGAAAAAGAGCCTCACCCTAGTCCTCTTTTCCCTTGCCTGCTTCAAGTACTCTCCCTGGGTAGCTGGAGCCTGCTGTATTGACGTTGAGATCATCAGATTGAACATGCCAAGCAGGGCCTCCCATGAAAGACAAAGAACTGGGAGGAGGTGGCTTAATCATGGTACTACCTCACCTGTATAAAGATTCGGTGATTTACTCATATAAGGTGTCTGGCTTACAGAATGGCACTAAGACCCCTGAGCCAATAGTTCAAGGAAGTTGCTCTGCACAGCAGGGAGAGGGCTTGTGTTTGGGAGTCTCTCTTACACAGTCTGCATATGGTAGAAAGCTGAAATGCTATTGGCCTTGGTATGAGAAGAGGTAGATGCTTAGTGATTGTTTAATGCAGTGTGTGTGTGTGTGTGTGTGTGAGAGAGAGAGAGAGAGAGAGAGAGAGAGAGAGAGAGAGAGAGAGAGATTATAAGTAAGAGGGAAAGGGGAGACGTGAAGTGCATTTTGCTGGTTTCCATTTTGGCTCCTAATTCTTAGCTTTATAATGAGTTCCTAACAAACCGTACCAGCTCCTTCAGCCTCCCATTCTGTGCTCTAGGGGCACTATCCGGGACATCGTCCTGAAGAAATTTGCTGGGCCCTCGGACAGAGGTGAATACTCACCTTCAGTACAGAAGACGCTCTATGACATACAAGTCCTGTCTCTGAGCCAGGTTCCTGAGGTATGCTCTGTCGCTTGCCATTCTGAGGACCGAGAGAAACTGTGTCTCCTGTCAGCTCTAAGAAAGAGCTGAGTGTTAAAATAGGAAAGTGGAAGACACATGAAAAGTGACATCTGTTGTTGTTCTAAAGCTTGGTATAGCAAGTGAGAAGAGCAGAAAATGGAAAAATCTGTTCAACCTAAAAACACAGGCCGCTGCCACAGTGCTTCGGTTTTGTTGAAGATTCTTTCAGCTCCTTCAAGCTACCACTAATTTAAACTGCAGATTCAGGCCACTTCCATGCCTTGATAGAGTGATAGCTAGACAGACAGAGGTTGTATGTTTCAAGGAATGGATGGCAGGAATAGAGAGACTTAATCCATCCTTCCATCCTTCCATCCATCCATCTACCCATCTATCTAGCTATTGATGTTTCTGGACATTGTGTTTCTGGAAGGACCCAAGGGATATACAGATAAGCTAGACATGGTCCCTACACTCAAACAATCCATCATTAAGTGAACAAAGAAAACAGGGAAGTTTTAAAAATATCAACAATAGGCTATTATGGAAATATGGGGCAAGAGTTTATCTCTAATGTAAGGGGTAGCACCAGGTAGATTTTCTGGAAGGAGAGGGTTGAGCTGAGCATAATTTGGGTTTTCACTCAAGGGTAACAGAGCGGAGCAGCACAGCTGGGGGGATGGGAGGAGGTGGTACTCATGGACACTTACTCTTAAGGACCAACTGCCATATGCGACATGTGCTAGAAAGGACTACTTTCCTGTGTGCAGACGTAAGGTGGGAAGAGGCCATATCTAGGCTTATTTATAGTCTGTGCTTTATTTGGAGAGCCACTAAAGGTCGCTGAGGTGTTACAGCAAAGTATGGCATGGCAGGATTTGCATTCTAGAGTGATTACTGGTAGCAGTATGATAAAAAAGCATGATGGACCACAGGCTAGGAGTCTTGTGGGATGATGTTGCAGAAGTATGGTCAAGAAAGCATGGGTCAAGGACATGTTGAAAGAAGAGAAAGAAGCATCACCTGAACCAGAGGGGCTTCCCTGCCTAGCACCGTAGCGTATTCCTCTAAGCTTTTCTCTGCTGTGCCTACCTCCATACAATAGAGTTGGTAAAACTAAGGCACCCAGCTCTTCAGGTGCTCACAGCTCCCCCCAGAACATTTTACCCAGTAGCATGGAGACTTAGGCAGATCTCTTTTAGAGACCTGCTTTATCCTTGGAGGCTCCTGCCACTGGGTTGCACATTCTTAGACTTAGAAGGGAACTGGAGAAACGGATGTGGTTTGACATACAAAGAGAATCTCTATCCTTCCATTGCAGGAGAGAAGATGGGCTGGCCCATGGTCTGGGGTTGGCTTTTCCCATGTCCTGACATAGTATCACATAGAGCCAGAATTTTAAATTACAGCCTGACTTGACTTATAGGTCTAACAAAAGTATTTTTGTAAATTAGTAAAGTAGAGTTTGCTTAATCTTTGTCATGCATGGGTTTGCAGTTTCACACTTATCCTATGAATATTAGGAATCACCCTGGGAGTCTGAGCTCTTCAGAGGTTCTATACTGAGGGGAGGGGAATGGGCCTGCCACCCATCTCAGGAAGACTCGTGTGGGAACAGAGATTGGAGCAGAGGAGCATGGGAGAGCACTTTAGAGACACAATCATGAACACGCGACTCAAGACGGGCGAGGTAGATGGAGGAAGGGAGAGGCCCTCCAGTGCCAAGTGTAACATACACTGTTGTGGGTTCCAGATAGAAGATATGGAAATCAGCCTGCCAAACATCCACTACTTTAACATCGACATGTCCAAAATGGGGCTGATCAACAAGGAAGAGGTAAGAGAGTTTGAAAATCACTGAAAGCACATTTCTGCCCCAGAGCCGCCTCTCGGTTTCCCTGTCGACTTGGGACGACATCACTGCCTAAAACCTGTAGCAGCTGCTGGCTCTGGGGGAGTATTTATAGTTGTCGCTGCTGATTAGAACCTTCTTCAACTGCCGGGTCTTTCAATGCCTGAGGCTGAGTGCTCTAGAGTGGATGAGTGATTATAGAGGAGGATTGCATGTTGCAGGGAGGGACAGAGTGTACCCAAGGCTCTAAGATCTCCTCGGGAAAGTGCCACGGAAGGTCGCACACAGCTGCATTGCTCCCTCCACCACGAGGAAGTGAGGAGAAGGCAGGATTGTATTTTCATTTTCTGTTATTGTGCCCACCTTTTGATTAAATAGTCAACTCAGGAGCACACACAATACACTCGGGAGAGATGAAAGTGTGTTTGTGCTACTGGCAGAAAGAGCGAGAGGCATTCGTGTCTTCAAAGGGAACCTTTGTTTCGGGAAGCACGAAGCCCCGGCTTCCTCTTAGCCGCAACAATCAGATTGTCTGACTAGGCGGCCTGGAGCTTTGGTTGGCAGCCTCTGTGGTCACTTCCTGGGAGATCAGAACTGACCCTGCCCTATGGATGTTTTCTGAGCCGGGCTTTTTGGCCCATCTGGAGCATTATTTGGGGTAACTGTGTTTAGTGTATGTGAGGGAGTAAGAGGCAATCTGATGCAGATCACACGCTGGGATGCACAAGGTTGATGGAAGAGAAGCTCTTACACTCTGGGACTTGTGACCCAGGAGCCTTCCAATCCCTCCCACCAGGGCCCTGATTTCTCTTTTGCAAACAATGCTGTTGGGTTCTACTGACTCTGCACCATCTGCCACATGTTTGCCCTGGGTACTGTGAAACAGGCATGGGGCTTACTTATCTTATAAGAGATGACCTAGGGCCCTGGCTGGCAGGAGAGGAAAGTCTGGCCCCAAGTTCACACTGTTTACCTCAGAGGAAGGAACGGTTGGCAATGAGCTGCATTTGTGGACGAGGACAGAAAGCTTTTTGGTAGGATTACTCGCCGAGGGTCGGGAGACAGATCAGAAAACAGTCTTGACCATGTCTGCCATGTCCAAACAGAAGAAGGGCAAGGCGAACTCTCAGCTCACGGCACAGTGACGAGGGCCTTCAGCCATACATCCATCTCCTCCAGAGCTGGAAGCAGATGAGTGTTTGTGGAGTGGGTTGGGAGTCGCAGAGAGAAATATACAAAGAAGCTACAGAGGATGATCCTTCCCAGACCCCAGCAGGGCCTTTCATGCAGAACTCTGTAATAAAAAATAAAATAAAGAAGGACCTATGCCTGAGCAAAGTGTCCTCACACTGAGGGGCACAGCTTCAGTCAACATTTGGATGCTAACACGTATGTGTGCCCCGTGAAGGCAACGCATGGGAAGCAGGAAGCTCAGGCACAGTGCCAACAGCTGGGGGTGGCCACAAGGGCAGGCTCTAGGCACCGCTGTCTGGGGTCTATTCAGCATTGTACCCACAGCCCCATGGACCTCGGGTGATCTTCAGGGAATGGCTGAATTACAGCTGAAACAGTGATGGATGTCCAAAGTGAGTCATCAAAAAAGGCCAAACGTATCCATCGCATTTTGAAAAGCAGGATTTTACAATGCATTTAGAAATAGCTATATCATAATGATTAACACACAAGCAAAATGCTTTTTGGTGGCAGGCCATCAAACCACTCGCTGAGTAAGCATGAGGACACAAGTTTGGTTCCCCGGCACCCATGTAAACAGCCCGATGCTGCAGCGTGTCTCAGCTGTAATAAGTCAATAGTTACAGCACTGAGGAAGTAGAGCTCACGGGCCAGTTGGTCTCACCCAACTGATGAGATCTAGGTTCAGTGTCCCAAAAAATAAGGTAGAGGGCTGGGAGACGGCTCAGCAGGTAAAGGTACACACTGGATACACAGCTCTGAGTCAGAACCCTGGGCCCCATATAAAGGCAAGAGAGAGATGAAACTACATAAAATTTTCCTCTGACCTCTACAAGAGTAGTGTGACACACACAACCTCCTCCCCAGTCCCTGCACACACACACACACACACACACACACACACACACACACAACCTCCTCCCCAGTCCCTACACACACACACACACACACACACACACACACACACAATAACCCAAAACAGCATATACATCCCTCAAAATTCCTGTATTTTCTGAAAAAAATCAACTCACCATTGGACTATACCAAGGAAGATCTGGCACTGCTAGACTTGGGGTCATTTTACACAAGTACTCAGTTGTCCTTGACAAGAAAATAAAATTCTCTTTTATTTTTTAAGGAAATTTTATTTTTTACTTTACATTCCAAGCCCAGTTCCCTCTCCCTCCCCTTCTCTGGCCCTCTTCCACTGCTCCTCTTCCCATCCCCATCCACTCCTCAGAGGGAGCAAGGTTGTCCTTGGGGAGTCAACCAAGTCTGGCATACCAAGTTGAGGCAGGACCAAGCCCCTCCCCGCTGTATCAAGGCTGAGCAAGGTATCCCACAACAGGGAATGGGCTCTAAAAAGCCAGTTCATGCACCTGGGATAAGTCCTGGTCCCGCTGCCAGCCTCTCCCCACAGATCAAGCCACATAACTGTCATCCACATTCAGAGGGCCTAGTTTAGTCCCATGCAGGTTGCCTAGCTGTCAGTCCATAGTCCTTGAGCTCTCATGAGCTCGGGTTAGCCGTCTCTGTGGTTTTCCCCATCATGCTCTTAAGTCCCCTTGTTCATATGATCCCTCCTCCCTCTCTTCAACTGAACTCCAGGAGCTCAGCCCAGTGCTTGGTTGTGGGTCATTGCATCCGTTTCCATCAGTTACTGGATGTAGGGTCTATGCTAATCACTGGATCGTGGAGAGGAGAAGGCTGCCCTCAAACCTCTGAAGTTACCCTGTGATTCCTCTACAGGTTTTGCTGCCTCTCGACAATCCCTACGGCAAAATTACTGGGACCGTCAAGAGGAAGCTGCCTTCCAGGCTGTAACATTATGGCTCCTGTCAGTTGTGATGCTGGGGACCACAGTGTGTTTACCTGCAGAAAATTTAAACTTAGGATATTGATTCCTTTCTTCTGTATGAAGCAATTTCTTTCTTTGTTCCTAAACAAGGCATTGTGTGGATCCCCACATTAGCAGGCACAACATTCTCCATGGCTGTGACAATTTCCTTAAAAACCCCTTGGCAGTGTTAGAAGAATCACAGAGATACCCTTGATGGCCTGGTATCCTTCTGCCTTACAATCAGTCTTCGGAATCACATCATCAAGAAAATAATCACATTGGTTAATCTGAACCCAAGTTTAAGAAGCAAACAGGGTTGTCATCCTACTGATTTTTCTGAGTGGTGCAGAAAATATAATAAAATCATGTGAAACAAAATCCATAGTGATTTCAACTGACTGAACATTTGTGTTTTTTAAAAGCTTACTTTAAAAGCAGTTGGGCATGAAACTCCACACCTAGCTGAGGAGTTGATGGCATTTTGTTGCTGCTGGAAGAGGGAAAGCCAGTTTTGTTTAAGGGTGTGACACCTAGTATGTCAACCATACTGGAGGGACATTTCCATGCCCAGAAGTAGACGGATAAAACCCAAACTGGCCTCAGTGAGAGGGGGTGGAGAGAGAGAAAACACGAAGTTGGGTCATGATCTGGGATGAACTGGGATGATGAATATGACCAAAATATATACAATTCTCAAATAATAAAGACATTTAAATTAAAAAAAAAAATGTACTTGTAAGTTCCGCTACCAGTTAGCATGAATAAAGACAAGAACATTTCTTACTGTCTTCTAAAAAAAAACTTTTGGCATATATCATTGATGATTTATTTCTAGTCTCAAAATACTTTTATGACATTGCTGTATTGCTTTTACAACCATAGGGGAATACTTAGCATGAACTGGAATGTTAAAGTAAGTACACGATGTTTCTCCTTGAATAAGGTGTATCCCTCTGACACACATCTCTGAAAACACCAGGGCAGAGACTTCTGGGACATGGGATCCATGAATGAGATTTGCTTTGGATCATGTACTTTTCTGATTCTTCCAATTATAAGCAATATTCTTCCTATTGCTTTCATGATCAGAGGAATATAAACATAATTGATGGCTTAAAAATGGGTACAGGCTTGAGTGGTGGTTAGTTTTACATCAGTTTACTGACATTATCCATTGCATGTATTCCACGAAACTTAAAAACATTGTAGGTAGTGCCATCACTGGCCTGATGGTCCTGGGTTCTATAAGAAAGCTGGTTGACCAGGCCACGGGAAGCAAACCAGTAAGCAACACCACAGCCTCTGCATCAGCTCCTGCATCCAAGTTCCTGTTCTGACTCCCTTTGAGGATGGATTGTAATGTGGAATCATAAACCAAATAAATCCTCTCCTTCCCAAGGTGCTGTTTGTTATGTTTCACTACACCAATAGAACAGGACCTCACTGACCATAACCGACACTATCTCACTGGCCAACAGTGCCAAAAGTAGTAACTCATACCCAGCACTGGACTTGGATTCTTTATGCTCTGATGATGAGTAAGAGCAATGTTGCCATGTTATAATAGGTTAATAGAGTAACTCCATATTCTCTCTCCCCCCACCTCCCGTGTGTGTGTGTGTGTGTGTGTGTGTGTGTGTGTGTGTGTGAGAGAGAGAGAGAGAGAGAGAGAGAGAGAGAGACTCTCTTCCCATAGCTTTTGCTCAGACTGGCTCTCAGAAATGCTTGAGGGTTTTTGAAGCCTCTATCGACTTGAGAATATAGTGACTTCAGACCTTTTCCCCTAGAAAAATGTGGGTTCACGTCTCTGTAAGCACATTAGCTCCATCAGGTGCAGTTAGTCATGCCAGAGCAGCACCAAGTTGCAATTGAAGTTCCAGGTGCAGCGCACCAGAAGGGAATCCTCTGACTGGCCAATCTCCTTTAGGCAAGGCCACGGGACTGCAGACCCTGGAAAGTCTTTTGCTTCTGCAGTGCCTTTTCATGTTTGCTGCAGCTCTCCTTCCCTGGTATCGAGCATGGTGTGAGTAGACGTGGGGAGGCCTCCACTGCCTGTAATACTATCTGCTTATCTCTTGGAAGCATCCATTTGCCTGAGCATTTTTACCTGTGGATTGTCAAGAAGATGACCTCTCCCTAAGCTGTACTGTCTAAATTGAGAATAATAATGATAGCTTAAAAGAGTTTTGGTGAAAACAAAAATAGAAATCCTTTTCCCCAGTAACTTGTCCTTGAACTTAAATTTTGGAGTCAAAGCATTTTTTTAAATTTAATTTATTATTTTACATGTCAATCCCAATTCCCCCTCCCTCCCTCCTTCCCTCCCTCCCTTTTACCCTCTCTGCCCTTTCACATGCACCCTAACCACCCTCCCTCCCATCCCCCCACCCCAATTCCATATGTAGGGGAATGCCAACCAGTTGGGGTCATGTAGATCTGACAGGTCCTGTGAAGTAGGGACTAGGGCTTCTCTCCTATCTCTAGATTAAGGCAGTTATCCCTCCATGGGGGATGTGTTCGCAAAGTCCTTTTGTGCACCAGGGATACATCCTGGCTCCACTGTCTGAGGTCCCTTAGACTGCTCAGTCCTTCTGGCTGAGACCCATATTCAGAGGGGCCTGAGTCAGTCCCATGCTGGCTTCCCAGCTATCAGTCTAGTGGCCCATTAGCTTCTCCTTGTTCAGGTAAGCTGTCTCTATGTGTTTCTGCAGCCTGGTCTTGTCCTCTCCCTCTGCATCTAGGTTCTACTTCGACTCAGTGTTTATGTATGGGTGTTTGCTCCTGTTTCCCACAGGCATTAGTTGAGGGCTCCATGGATAAGTTAGTTGTTGATCTCACTCTCCAGGAAGGGCATTTATGGTAGCCTTTCCACGGAAGCTCAGATTGTTAGTTGGCAGCAGTCTTGTAGTTCTCTAGACCTTTCTTTGTGTTCAATTTTATCTTCAAACCAATATTGGCTCCTTCTTTTATGTTCTCTCTCTCTCTCTCTCTCTCTCTCTCTCCTGTCTTCTATTCCTACCCGGGCTCAATCTTCCTGGTCGCACGTGTTTTCCTTTCCTCCCCCTCATTTTCTCCTATTTCTCTCTCCATTCACTGACCTCCCCCACTTCCCCTGTGCTCTGGGGGACTTGTCCCTTCCCGGTTCTGTGAGGGACTTTATATGAATCTCTTAGAATACGCCTTGTATCCTAGTTCCTCTGGTGGTGTGAATTATAGAAAAGCTGTGGATTCCTTCCAGACTAATGTGGTTTGATCAAGCCAGACCGCCTGAAACAGAGTACCAGGTGATCCTACATTCAAAACAGCTGAACAAAGCAGCCTTACAGACTACAGCCAGGATTTCTGCATCTTCTTAGAATCCCCCATGACAGCGCCCCTTACCAGCAGGAAGTAGTTTGGAAAGAATGACACCCAAATTCCCAAATATTGTCTATAAATGTTTGTTTTCATTTAAATGGACTTGGTTATAATATATATATATATATATATATATATATATATATATATAGAGAGAGAGAGAGAGAGAGAGAGAGAGAGTTTTGGTGAATAAAAATAAGTACCAGGGTATGTTTCACAACCTGAGTCTGTGAGTTTCACCTAAGGAGCTGCATGGATTATAGTTCAAGTTAAGGATTAACAATTGAGTCCCAGTAGCCCAGCCAATTTAAATTCTTTTACCCTTAATGTCTGGAGATATGTTCATGAGTTTCAGAGAGTCACAGCTGAAACAAAGCACTGGAAATAACAAGTTACACTAAGATTTTTTTTTGTTAAATAACTTTGAAGTGAAAAATTCAAAAAGACAATCTAAAGTTTTACAAAGTCACATAGTTTAATTCAGAACTATTTAAGGTCAGGGAACAAGAAAAAAACAGCCCAATTATTACAGGCTGATATATTCTTCTTGCTAGGTTTAGTTGATACCCATTTTTGCCCTCCCATCTCCTGATATTAAAAAAATAAAAGCCTATTAACAAATGGATATGTACCCTAAATATTTAAAATAGTGCTGACTGATTCTTTTTCATATATAAAAGTTTAGGTTTGTGATTCCTTTAAGATTCCTTACAAGATTACCTTTCAAGATGATTAATAAAGTAATTGGTCCTTTCTGTGTAACTGCAAAATGCAGCCAGCCAGTAAAAGACCTGACAAGAACATCTTGCTTGCTGTATGACCCTAAGGGAGTTATACCCTAAGCTCTGGAGCTTTCATTTCTGAGATGGGACTGATAACTATACTTATCTCAGAACACAGGGTTACAGGATTATCTGTGGTGGTTCATGAGTTAGAATGCCTTTGATCCCACGAAGCTGGCTATCCTTGAGTGTCTTTTGTAGAAAGGGCATTTTATTTACTTAAGAAGTGCAGTGATACACTGTCCCAGACTGACTGGCGGCTCAGTGATGGTGCCAAAACTCAGGCTCATCAACTTCTGCTCTGCCATCTTCATCCTTATGTGTGATAAGGCCCCAGTGGTCATGAAATGGATGGTAAGCACCTGCTAAAGATGATGGGACTATTACCCAGTTGAGATCAAAGAATTTATTCCCTTCCATGCTGGAAGTTTTGGTCCCTGGTGTCTAATCATCAAATCCCTCTACAGAAATTACCTTTGGCAGAAAGGAAGTGGTCTCACCCAAGTTTGTATGTGTTCTCTGGGAACATCTTGCTGTCAATACCTGGCCACATATGAGTCAGAGGCATGGGATCTAGCTTCCCATGGCCAGTAACTGTCAGTAGCAAGTATCCTGCCTCCCAGCAGTAGAAACTAATATTGAATGGGACTTGATGTGGTGGCCAATAGTAATTTGGAGGCAAGTCCAATAGACTGAACTCTTTTCATTTAAAAGGGGCATTGATTTATCATGACTAATATGGCTACGTGATCATTTCCTGCCCACAGGAACTCAGCTGACACCACAATCCAGGGCTCCCACTTAGCTCAGGAGGGTCCCACTTCAAGGCGATGAGGATGTCCCCTTGGAGCTTTCCTAACACTGCAGGTGCAGTAGTGATGGGAGGACCCTGCAGAGGTGCAGATGTGGTACCCATCTGGAGATGACACGCTGCACAGGGTGCTTTCCTGAAAGTCGGTGTGGCTTCTAAACCTGACTTCTGTGAGGTTTTGCTCCAAGCAGGCAGAGCATTTTGGCTATAGATTGCGTAGCATATTCCCAGGGGAACATTTGACCAGAGGACACAACAGGAGTGACTTAGACTGTACGTTGTAGGATCATGCAATCAGCAAACTTGGCACTTTTCAAGGAAAATAGCTATTTCTAGCATAGTTCAGAGACAGCCATACTCAAACCAAATTCTTAGGACCCTTATTAGGTGTGTGTGCTGCCACCATTGAGTGGCAGCTGAATAGTGCAGAGCAG